TTAGTCTGGTGCAAGAGGTCTGCTTTGAAAACCACTTTCCTCTGCCTGATTGTAAAACAATAACTCAGTCAGGCATGACCTGTTAGGCCATTAGGGCTCTAGGAATACAGAGCGTGCCATAAAATGTCCATTCCACATGTAACAATTCATAAAGTTCAGCAGGAACTGGGCACATTAATATTTGGTATATATTTGGATAGATCATTTTAATGTGAGTCAAACAAGGCCTTACATGACTATATTAGCACCTAGGAGAGAGAAGAAAGCAGTCTCTTCCCTCCGGTGACAAGGGTACACTGTGTTTGGTATCCTTGGGTTTGAAATATAATTCTGAATATTAATCTGCCAGTTGCTAGAATACCACCTGTACATACTGAAAGTTATTAATATTAGTATAAAACTGCAGTTGGGACTTGGTCATAACCTTGGTTACCGCCTAGCACCCATCCCCAAACTGGATGATTGGTCATTTGTTGGTCATGATTGGTCAGGCGACACCCCTTTAATATCATAGAAAAAGACTGACATGACTGGAAAAGGGAGCTCTCATATAACATCAATCAGGAAACATCTACCGGACTTGAGAGCCAAGGCAATCTTTTTGTTCGGACAATTGGACTTGCTAAAACCAAGGATATTGCAAGTATTCTGCCTTCTGAACTCCTTTCTTTTATTTCTCTGTTGTTTTATTGTTCTCTTTAAGTCTTTTTAACATCTTTTTCTGTAAATATTTTAATTGCACCATTTTGACCTTTTTAATAGAAATTCCTATTTTGAAAAGTGTTGAAACTGTCTCTAAAGCTTTTAATGCAAACTAAAGAATCCCTGTCTCTTGAACAGAGCTACTGTATTATTATTATTATTATTATACAGTATTTAATATGTACGTAATAATCCTCTGAATATCCCTGTCTGTGGTGACAGTGTGTATTACAGATGCTTATACTACTATATAATAGTGTTACTGCTAAGATTTGTGAGTTTCCTCCTTCTCTGTAAAAAGGAGGTGGTGGCAGTGTGAAGGGTTAATTGCGTAATTAACCTGACCCAGTAACAATCAGTCTGCTAGCACATAGATTGTAGTCCCGCGAGCTGGAAAATCTTTGTGCAGGGCACAGCTGAGAGAGGCATTGTTATGCAAGTGACAGTACTGTGCGAGATCAGCTGGTCCTTCGATCACGAATTGGTGAGAAGGGCAGGGGTCGGATGCCGCGTTCCGTCACAACATACACCAAACATTCAATGTAAGTGAATCAGTCACTGTAATGTAACACACATTCCCCAGGAAGAACACCTGCAGCTTTATAAATATGCCCCTTGATGTCAGTGTGAGCAGGGGTGGACTGACCATTTGGAAACTTGGGCACTGCCTGAGGGCCCGGGTCAGTAGGGGGCCCCATGAGATGCCCCTGGTACCTTTTTCATAGGCTTTTTTGAGTTTGGGCAAGGACACAGGGGCCCTATTGCCCAGGGGCCCCATGAGTTGTCAGTCCGCCCCTGAGTGTGAGTCTCTACCATCTTCTGCTTCTGTAATTCAAAATATCTGTAAATGAAAGTAAGCAGTGCAGTATTTATTAGGACCAAATTATATCTAGCATATCACATCTGACGCTTGGCTGTCACCTTCATTAGGCTTCTTGTTCATAAAATCATTTCTAAAGTAAAGAAAGTCACAGCTGGCCAGTAACAAGAAGAAGAGCTAAGTGACTCACACCGACAACTCACACCGACACAGACAGTTCAGGTTTAACATCTGCTGCTCCAGGGGAAACGATCAGAGGAAAGACAAAGAGCTGCACACATCAACTACAGATGATCAACACATGGACTGGCTGAAGTCATACTAATCAAAGAGGTTTCTGATTGGAACCCATTGCACCTCTTTTTGGGAGCGCACTGCAACAAACTAATGTCCATTGGAAGGTGTGCTTGGGTACTAAATGTATTCTTGAAGCGGAGCTATACTCACCTTCTCTCCAGCACTGTGATGTCCTGGAGCTGGCCAGGCCAAGATGACATCACTCCCGCACGTGTGCGAGGTCATTCATCTCCGAAATTCTATACTAAGCTGTTTGTGCAGAGGGGCAGGTAACAGGTCCGGATCTAGCCTGTCTGATATGGGGGTGCAGTAAAAAACATCAGGGGGGCAGGGGATGCAAGGTCAACAGGGCAGTGTATAGAAGTCAGTAGGGCAGTGTACAGGGGGGCCAGCAGGGCAGAGAGAGAGGGAAAGCAGTTTGTAGGGCAGAATACAGAGGCCATTAGTTTGTAGGGCAGTTTACAGCGAGTATCAAGGAAGTTTACAGGGGTTAGCAGGGAAGTGTACAGGGGTCAGCAGGACAGAGGATGAGAGGTCAGCAGGAGAGTGTGCAAGAGTCAGTGGGGCAGTTTACAGGCGGTCAGTAAGGCAAAAAAAAAAGAAGGGTCAGCAGGGCAGAGGATGGGAGATAAGCAGGAGAGTGTACAAGAGTCAGTGGGGCAGTATACAAGGGGTTCTGTAGGGTGCAGGATAGGGGTCAGCAGGGCAGAGGATGGGAGATAAGCAGGAGAGTGTACAAGAGTCAGTGGGGCAGTATACAAGGGGGTTCTGTAGGGCGCAGGAAAGGGGTCAGCAGGCAGAGGATGGGAGATAAGCAGGAGAGTGTACAAGAGTGAGTGGGGCAGTATACAAGGGGTTCTGTAGGGCGCAGGATAGGGGTCAGCAGGACAGAGGATGGGAGATAAGCAGGAGAGTGTACAAGAGTCAGTGGGGCAGTATATAAGGGGTTCTGTAGGGCAAAAGATAGGGGTAAGCAGGGCAGAGGATGGGAGATAAGTAGGAGAGTGTACAAGAGTCAGTGGGGCAGTATACAAGGGGTTCTGTAGGGCAAAAGATAGGGGTAAGCAGGACAGGGATGGGAGATAAGTAGGAGAGTGTACAAGAGTGAGTGGGGCAGTATACAAGGGGTTCTGTAGGGCGCAGGATAGGGGTCAGCAGGGCAGAGGATGGGAGATAGAGCAGGAGAGTGTACAAGAGTCAGTGGGGCAGTATACAAGGGTTTTGTAGGGCAAAAGATAGGGGTAAGCAGGGCAAAGGACAGGGGACAACAGATGAGATAACAGGGGTCAGCAGGGTGGGGTGGAGGGGGTATCAGGGCAAAGACAGGGCAGTAAGGCAGAAAAAAGGGGTCAGCTGGGACGAAAGAAGGGGTTCAACAGGACAGTGCTCAGAAGGGCAGTGTGTGGGGGTCAGCAGGATGGAGGACAGGGTCAGAAGGGCAGGGTACAGAAGGTCAGCAGGGTAGAGGACAGGGGTCAGAAGAGAAGAGGACAGGGTCAAAACTGCAACATAGCAGCCAGCTATACACTGCAGATTGAGGCTGTGTCTGAAAGGGAATCTGATCTCAACTATGTGCTGTGTGGGGAGGAGGACATCTATTGACTGCCCTGTGTGTGTTGTCAGGACAAGGTCATCTAGCTCCCAGGGTGAAGATGACAAACCAAGCCCCCTATGTTTGAGCATCCTGTCTCAGCATAAATCCCTCCCCCTGAAAAAAAAAGCACTAATCAGCACACTCCCCCCCCCCCCCCCCCAAGCATAACTTTTGTCTGCAAGCCAAAATTCTCCCCCCAAAAAACAATGCAAAAACATCCTCCTCCTCCCAGTATAAACCCCCATCCGGCACAATCTTCGCCCCCAATCCCACCTCCAATGCCCCCAATACCTCCTCCTAGCACAAATCTACCTCACCCAAAAATTACCCCTCCATGCACACATCCACTTTCCCCTCAAATTTCCCATCCAAGCACAAATCTCCCCCCAAAATTCTCCTTCTTAGCATAAATCCCCCCCATCCCCCCTCTTAACCCAAATTTCTTCACCACCTCCCAGCACAAATCCCCCCATTAATCCCCCCTCCTAGCACAAACCTCCCCAACCCCCCTTTCTAGCACAAATTCCCCCATCTAGCACAACCCCCCCCCCCCCCCCCCCCTGCTAATCACCCTTCCTAGCACAAATCCCCCCTAATCCCCCCCTTCTAGTACAAACCCCCCCCCCCAATCCCCATCCTATGAAAAATTCCCCTAAATTCTTACTTCTAGCACAACCCCCTCCCCCAGTCATATAGCAGATGACACAGATTCGATCTCCTCCAAGGACCGCTCATCCCCCAGCAGCAGCAAATGTAGAAAGGGGGCGGGTAATGAAACTGTGTACAGCCCGATGGTCAGAGCGATCCTGTGTCATCCGCTACATGGAGCAGCTCCTCCTTGCTCTCTCTTCTTCGTCACTTTCTTAATTGCTCCAGGCTCCCTTTCCCTTGTCCTGGCTCTGAGTGTGGGGATGGGGGGGTGGAGCTCAGCAGTCTGGGGGGCACAACTGAAATCTGGGGGGGGTGCAGCCCACCCAAGCACCCCCCTATATCCGGCCATGGCAGGTAACCAACTTTAATGCAGAAGAGACATTGTGGGGGTATTTACTAGAGAGCGCAAAATCTGGTGCAGCTCCGCATTGAAACCAGTCAGCTTCCAGGTTTTATTGCCAAAGCATAACTGAACAAGCTGAAACTGATTGGCTACCATGCACAGCTGCACCAGATTCTGACTACACCAGTTTCAGTAAATCTACCCCTGTATGTCTCTTTTGCATTACAAATTCTGTCTGTTCATGATTTGTTTTCATTAACCGCTTAAGGACCACCCTATATCAGATATACTGCATAGGGCGGCACCTGTGCACAGAATCACACATTTGTGAGGTCAGGCACTGATGTCAGATGAGAAGGCCTGGCTTGCAGTCTCCGCTCTAATTCATCCCAAAGGTGTTCTATCGGGTTGAGGTCAGGACTCTGTGCAGGCCAGTCAAGTTCCTCCACCCCAAACTCACTCATCCATGTCTTTATGGACCTTGCTTTGTGCACTGGTGCGCAGTCATGTTGGAACAGGAAGGGGCCATCCCCAAACTGTTCCACAAAGTTGGGAGCATGAAATTGTCCAAAATGTCTTGGTATGCTGATGCCTTAAGAGTTCCCTTCACTGGAAATAAGGGACCAAGTCCAACCCCACACCATAATCCCCCTCCACCAAACTTTACACTTGGCACAATGCAGTCAGGCAAGTACTGTTCTCCTGGCAAACACCAAACCCAGACATGTCCATCGGATTGCCAGACAGAGAAGCGAGATTGGTCACTCCAGAGAATACGTCTCCATTGCTCTAGAGTACAGTGGCGGAGTGCTTTACACCACTGCATTGAAAGTTTTGCATTGCACTTGGTGATGTAAGGCTTGGATGCAGCTGCTCAGCCATGGAAACCCATTCCATGAAGCTCTCTATGCACTGTTGTTGTGCTCATCTGAAGGCCACACGAAGTTTAGAGGTCTTTAGCTATTGACTCTGCAGATAGTGGGCGACTTCTGTGCAATGTGTGCTTCAGCATGCACTGACCCCGCTCTGTCATTTTATGTGGCCTACCACTTCGTGGCTGAGTTGCTATTGTTCCCAGTTGCTTCCACTTTATTATAATCCCACTAACAGTTGATCGTGGAATATTTAGTAGCCAGGAAATGTCACGGATGGACTTATTGCACAGGTGACAACCTATCACAGTACCACCCTTGAATTCACTGAGCTCCTGAGAGCGACCCATTCTTTCACAAATGTTTGTAGAAGCAGTCTGCTTGCCTAGGTGCTTGATTTTATACACATGTGGCCATAGAGGTGATTGGAACACCTGAATCCAATGATTTGGAGGGGTGTCCCAATACTTTGGGCAATATAGTGTATATTCCAAAAGTGATATTAAACCCCAAAATATTTTGGAGAAGGTTTTTCATACTGTTTGCCATTTCTACACATGCTGAGACACCTTGTCTTTCTTGTACACACAATTTGATTATGAAAGAAGCTATATCTCTACCATTGCCTACTACAGAGGTGGGCAACTGTGGCCCTCCAGCTGTTGTAGAACTACAAGTCCCATGAGGCATTGCAAAACTGACAGTTACAAGCATGACTCCCAAAGGCAGAGGTATGATGGGACTTGTAGTTCACCAACAGCTGGAGGGCCACAGTTGCCCACCCCTGGCCTACTGCACTATGTTGGTTGTACTTTGCTACATGATATGATGCCATTGAGAACTGGATGATCTGTAGAGTGAGAAGAGCCCCCCTTTTCTAAGCGAGTGGACTATATTGGTCTGGTAAGGTGCACAAGATAGGAGGTGGCGGTCAGTGTGTTCACTAGCACTGAGAGTTGATGTTACGAGGGGAGCACGAGCAGAGTGAAAGGATTTTTGAAGATATAACACTGTGTGATACCTTCGGAGATATATTTCCTATGCGATGGCGGACGGATTTAGGAGCCCAACCACGAAGGAAGGTGGATTTTGTGGAAGCTTTTTCAAATTCATGAGAGGGTAAGAGTAAGGATGACGGATGGTTAGAGGTGCACACACGGTGGAGTGATTTTTTCATGCATTAGCACAATTTTTGTAAGTGCGTTTTGCTATGTTGGATATCATGCGTTGTAGATAATGCACTATATGCGATTTATATTTTTTTGAGGGTACTAAGTGTAGGAAGAGGTTTTTTTTATCACTTGCTGAAGAAGAATACTCATTAAGAAGATATCGGCCCTACTGGATGTTTTATATACAGAGACGCTGAATAAAAGTTGGACTTTGATAACCGGCAATTGTCAGAGGATGGATCGGCACCGATCATCAGGGCACTGATGATCAGTGCCCAGCACTGCCACCCACCAGTGCCGCCCACCTGTGCCCATCAGTGCCACCCACCTGTGCCCAGCAGTGCCACCCACCGTGCCACCCACCAGTGCCCAGCAGTGCTCCCCATCAGTGCCACCCATCAGTGCCCAGCAGTTCCGCCTGTCAGTGCCCAGCAGTGGTGGCATTCAATGCTGGCAGTCAGTGCCACCCCTCAGTGCTGCCCATCAGTGTCACCTATAAGTGCCCATCATTGTTGCATATCAGTGCCGCCTCATCAGTGCTGCCTATCAGCGTCCAT